CCTAACAACGCCTGATCCGTGTCCACCACCACCACCACCACCACCACCACCACCTCCCCTAACAACGCCTGATCCGTGTCCAACTCCACCACCACCACCACCACCACCTCCCCTAACAACGCCTGATCCGTGTTCAACTCCACCACCACCACCACCACCCCTAACAACGCCTGATCCGTGTTTAACTCCACCACCACCACCACCAGCACCACCACCACCACCACCACCACCACCACCACCACCACCACCCCTAACAACGCCTGATATGTGTTTAACACTACCACCACCACCACCACCACCACCACCACCACCCCTAACAATGCCTGATATGTGTTTTACTCCACCACCACCACCACAAGTACCACCACCACAGCCGCCACCGCCCCCTCCTCCTATTTGCCCCCCTACAACTACAAAATGCAGTACTAAAAACTACTGTACCACTCCTTGTCCACCAGGTAAAAACATATTTGGTTTCGTAAATAATACCATCTACTTTATTTCAATCGGAAACAAGAGTCAATTGCAGGAAATCAAAAGAGATTCTGCCAAATACAAATACGATGACGATATCCCGGCAAATGATGAGACTGGAGACTGGAAAAATTCAACTAAAAAAACCACCTCCACCTCCTTTACTACCGAATCTTCCAAAAGCAAGCATACGAAAAAGTTGACTACTGACGATGATAAACATCTAAATACTGAGAAAAGTAAACCACCTGCTGCCACCACTGAACACCACGAAATTTTGGCTGATGATAATCCAGATACTGAAGCCACTGAAGATGATGAAAATTCAATTACCAAGAATAGTGAAGACTCCTCCAGCTCCTTTACCGCCGTGCCTTCTGATATCTCTATCACCGACGACGCTGCCGCTTCTAGCGAAGTCTCCGCCGATCACTCTGTTATCGATACTCACACCCCACCCCCTGAAGACACTTAAACAAATTAAACAAGAATTTCGAATTGATGGTAGTAGGCTTTTACGATAAGATATGTATCTAGTATAATCTATACCCTATACACAAAATAAAGCCTTCCAAACCTATTTAACACCAAAAACGTTATACTTGTTTATTTATTAATTTGCATGCATTACGAAATGATCTTCAGATAAATTTTCGTTTAATCACATTCTTTTAGTTGTATTCTTCATATTGCTCGATCTGCTTAATAAATGCGATACGTATAGACTTTACATTCATTTCAAATTGTATGTTTTTGAAAAGAATATGTTTAAAGTAAGCAACTGTTAACAAAAAAAACTAACATGGTGTGGACGAGTATTGACATACCTCCTGACAATATAAAATAAACATGTCATCCAAATAGAGATATCAAGATTGTAACGTCTTTATTGTGTGGTAATGGTTACCATAAGTCTGAATTTGTGCGTAAAATGATTTTCATCAAGGTTTTCTTGTCTCAAGTCACATTACTGTATGCTCTGTTCATATTAATGTAGCATATGATATCATTAAGCATGTGATAAAAAGAGGGACATGGAAATATTAGTTTTAAATAGCAAAATGGTATTGATATACAAAAATATTTGGAAAATATTGCAAGTGGTATGAATATTAACCAAGAAGTTGAACATTTCGAAAAATGAGATGATGTGGTAGTGTTCCGTCGCTATTCGCCGAAACGTTTGTTTTTTGTTACGATTATGTTTTTTATTTAATTACAGATTTAAGTAGACAGATGGTTTGATAATTTTTAGCCTTATTCGAATGTATTTGGTTTTAACTGTACATTCTTTCATCTTAGTGCATATTACAATTTGAATCTTCTCTTGGAATTTACATTACAATAGCAAAATATTCAAGGTTTACCTGACTGTCAACGTTAAAATCACATTAGGGCCGTATTTTCCACTCATAACTTTTTTCATTGTATCACATTTACCTGAAATGTATTAGCTATTTGCTGTCAAGTTTCGCATAATAGTTTCCAATTCTATCTCTATCTATCTTAAATTGTTCTTCTTTTTATTATTTTTTTGATTTGATTATTTAAATAAGTTTCCGAAATTTTCTAGACAGTTCAATAAAATACATCAGTAAGCACGGTTCTTGATCAAACGCATTTAGTTATTTAAGTTACAGTAGTTGTACATATCTTTAATTGTGAATAGTCTCGATCCTGTAATAATAAAACTACTAAAAAAGGGTAAAATTTATTAAAGGAAAAATCAAATCACCAACTAGCGGTACAATATTAAGCTGGCGTACAGCAGAAGCTAGGATAATTTAAACACCGACTGTCCTGCTTCACCAAGAAGCGTGTTCAGTGACAAGTGAGAAAAATAAAAAAGATAAAATTGAACTAAATGAAATGAAAAAAGAATGCAATATTGTCAAGATTACACAGAAGAATTAAGTTATGAGAAGAAAAAAACAATACGGAACTGATAAAACAAAACGATGAACTGAGAAATCGCAATAATTATTTAAGGTCCATGATCCCAGCAGCAGAAAATAATCCATTACAAACTGCAACTGCATATGTTAGTGTACTCTCAAGTATTCCAAAATAATAACGTTAATTTTTAGAAAAAAACAAAATCCGACTTCAAGACTATACCTACATATACAAACTTGAGCTAAAAAGTGGAAAATAATATTTTAATTATTACATTACCGAACAATCGACAAAATCGTTGATACTTATATACATTTACATTCATAATCTGTTATTTTTGGAGTCGATGCCAGTCAAGAGGAACAGTTTAATCCCGTCTTTGCAACAAACCTTCATCCNACTACCCATCCGCGCAGAACATGCTGCCGGTTCTGCATCCAACTAAAGGTTAATTGGGGAATAATTACAAAAAAATATAGATTTACACTGCTTTTTACTGTCCCATCATTAATGAGAATCTTGTGGCTGCCTGTTGCACATCAAGATGAAGATAATGTTAATGAATCTTCAATATGGAAATCAGTAGTGTAATTTTCGTTAACTTTTAATATAAAAAATTCTATTCACAAATGTATGTAATCCCAAAATAAAAATGAAATTCGCTACACTAATTTGGTAATAATGGGATTTTTCCAAAAATCTTCATTTTTGGCTTTAATAATTATATTAGTTGGTAAAGTAGCAATTTCATTTTCAACCGCCTTCTTTTCTATATGACAGACGTCTGACTTTTTTTTCGTAAATATGTTTCACAAACAAATAACTACTAATTTAACAGATGTTGGTAAGGAAGAATCCTCAAATGTTATAATTAATAGTAATTAGTTATCACTAAATAGTATTGCTATAGTTCACATGTATAAGCAAAAAAATGACAATGATAAAATCTTAAATTAGAGGTGAGACGTCGGTGTTAGTTTTAATGCAATAAATCTTTTTGTCCCTGTTCTTTGACTTCTTATTATTATCAAAAAAAAAAATAACTGCACAGCCTTAGCATAATTTACCGCTGAAATAATAAAAAAAAATATGTTTTTATTGGAAAAGTGTAAGGTTTATGATAATTATAACATCAATAGATGAAAAAATTGCTGTGGTTATAATCACAGTTTTAAAAAATGTAAGGAGAAATTTAAACGATCACAAGTAGCATGAATGGTGAAAAGGAGTTGCAATATTTAAATGGAACATACACTATTTGTGGCCAGGTTTACTTGACACTTGGTTTTAATAGTCTCTCATTTAATTTCTGAAAGACCTATCTCGACATTTTAAAAAATTTTATCTCCGTAGGGGGGTGGGGGGAAAAGTGTTGCAATTTTTGATTGGGACATACTTCATTTGTAGTTGAATTTACTTGAAACTTAGTATATATACTGTTTCATATTATTAATCAAATGAACAGAGGTTGGAAATTAAGCAAATACGTGTTTTGGCAATTTTTAAAAATCAACCCTTAAGGATGAAATGAGAAACAATATTAATTTCTGCGAGCGAAGCCGCTGGGAAAGGCTAGTAATTTTATGATTTTTATCAAAACAGAAAAAATCAAATGTCGATTCTCTAGGGTGAAGTATTGATTCACTGAATCGATTTTTTTTTGTCCGAAAAATCGATTCTTCGATTAATCGATCTTAGATCGCCATCCCTAATCTCCTAGTCGGCGACACTTATACTTACGGAAACTAGTAACAGGAGTATTAAGTACACGGTCTAAGGATTACAAGGAAAAAAACTAACATAGGTAGATTGATTGGATACTGTTTTGAACTACCATAGTTTATAGTTTTTACATCATTGATGTAGACATACACCATTAAAGTCTTTGTTAAGATAAGATTTCGTATAAACTATATTATTAAAATGTGTATATGTAGCTTATGTAGGTACTTCTTCCAGGCGAAAATGTATTATTGTATAATTAGTTGTCGGGATGAAAGTATAGGTAAATTTTACTGGTCTAATAAATTTTGGAATTACCTGGACGAAAGTTCTACTTCTATTAAACATCTCGTTATTGATTTATATAAAATCTCTTGTAGTTATAAAAGTACTTACATCTGACGATATCCCGCTATAAGCTGGAAAAATAACTTTTTGTTACTTGCATTAATTTTAAAAAATTCAAACGAAATTCCATCACATTATTACTGACCAAAATAAAACGAGTGAAAATCAATATAACGTTAGTTATATAGTCAGTACTACTGCAACTAGCTACACATCGTGGTTAATTGAATAGTATCCAAGAAAGAATTTCCACTTGTCGAAAGTAACAACTCTGCTCTTGTTAGCTTTCACGTTTGAAGGAGCCTCTTTGTACATGAATCGGCACCATCAGGTGGAAGTACCGAATTAGGTAGAAATTAACACGGTCTCAATAAATAAAAAACCAAGGAAAACACGATTATAAAAACCAATAAAATTTTAAGACAATGGTGAACAACATTTTTATGTCTGCATGATCAACAATACCAAACAACTTGCCTAATGATCTTAATGCGAGGTGTATCGATACCTATTAGTAAATAGCTCGGTTGCTTATTGTTTCAAAACAATCCCTAAATGGTATTTCGCAATTAATCATTATTTCATTTTCAAAAATGCAGTACGGTAACTGTTTAACGAAATAAGACTCAAAACGTTAGTGCAAAATCACTCGTTCTTTCCATTGTTACGTAATCCGTGTTGTTCCGACATCACGAGTATAATTTTCCTATCCGAATGAAACTACTAAAATGTTTTCAGTAAAACATCAGGTAAATAGATAAACTTTATGTATAATTATTGCGGACGATGCAGGTTGTAAACTATTTTTGCTTTAAATTAAAATAAATGGTTTAAAGTAGGTACCAAGGTACGAAAAAAAAAACGTATTTTCATTTTATTTAGGTTTGATTAACAATATTGCTATAAAAAAAAATTAAAGTTTAAGAATATTTAATATATATTTTTTAACGAAATATTCCTATAGAGCTTCTCAATCACTTTTAACAAATAATTTAAGTCCTATTTTGATAATTCTTTTTTATTGAAAAGGGTATACCCCGAAGCTGATCCCTTATAAACTTGGAAAAAATCTAACCCTAGGGGTAGGAAAACAGGGGATGATTTATAGTAGGAAAATAATAGTAGTAGTAGTAGTAGTAGCAATTAGTAGATTATAGCCACAAAATATTATAAAATAAAAACTTAAAAATTAAACTGCCGAAAAAACTAAAAAGCAAAACATAACAAACATTTATTTTATTAACCTTAATAACTAAGTTATTCAACTAATACCTAAGTATTTTTGAGTCGGCGCTAAACAATCAATAAAGAAAGATCTCTAAATTACCTTAAATTTAAAGAAATAA